ATGATTTTATCAAACAGGTGATTAATGATTTGAACGTGTGTGTATATATATAGAGGAAGATTTTTTTTTTGAAAGATAATCTAATATTAGTATGATTTTTTTGGAACAAGAAGTAGTGTAGTATTAGTAGGTCTTCTTCGTGATACTTTGTTTTAATTTTTCTTTTATATAAAAATGAGATGGTGGAATGATGAGACAGTGTTGTTAAAGATGTTGTTGTTGTAGCAGACAAATACACGTGTCACGCATACACTTGGTCAAAGTGTTGGTTTTGACTTTGTGCTCGGATTTTTTTGTTGGGTGTGTTCTAAACTTCTAATTAAATTTTTATAATTTCAAAGTAAATACTCGACTCCTAGTACTCTTCGTTTAGCTAAAAAAATTGTTTGATTATGAATATTTGGGTTGGATTTGAGTTATCTAATTAAATGACTATATATTACGTCGAGTAGATTTTTTTTTTATCAGAAACATAAACTTCCATTAATATCATTCTGAAGTTACAAACATAGCACTCAACATTTTTAGCAAGACTATCAGAGTTTTAGTATTTAACTCTCGGTTGATACAAACAAAGGAGACTAGCTCAAAGGTTTGGGCAATTACGTCGAATAGATATAAATGAAAAGATATATATAGTAGTAGTGTGATTTATTAGCATATATATAAGGGAAGAAAAAATCAAAAAAAATTTATTCCCTTATATATATGCTATAAGGGAAGAAAAATAACTAAAAATTTTGTATGTGGCATAAAATGATTTTTTTATAGCATATATGGAAGGGAAGAAAAATTCAAATGTTAGGCCTAGCTAGATTTAATGAATTAGATGAACATAGACAAAGAGACGTTCTAACCGGATAAGAACTGTTTTTCTATGCTAAAAACAAACAAAGTACAATTAAAATTTAAGACTAGTTTACTTAAATATTTGTGTGAGTTTGAATATATATAATTTATATCGAAGGATTAGATTATTAATTACCTCGTTCTAGTTAATCAAGTTCAATGCATAAGATTATCGTGACGCGCATTGATGTATTCGTGGGTTCGATAAATACCATTTCCATATTTAAGGGTAACCGCGAGACACTTAAGAAAAAATGTTTTATTGTTTTTAGCATAAAATAGTCTCGATGTCTGCTTAGTTAATTATCAACTGCTAAACACGTCTCAGTTACGTCATTAACTCTCTAATAATGTTTCTTTAATTATGAGAAGAACAAAAATACGTCTACGTGGACTCCATCGTATCCAAGCATGACAAGAGTTTGAGCTTCTCATGATTCTAATCCACGTCCCTTTTAGCTACACTCAGTCTCTTTGATTGTTGTAAAGATAAAGCATAAATAAATAGTCAAGTCCACCCAAAAATATATATTTTTCAACAAACCAAGTCTAATGTCTTTTATGTGTAACAATCAAAATAAATCAAGTGATAGTCTCCTACAATTTTTATATATAACAGATTGTTTTTTAACCAAATTTTATGTCCATAGTTAATTAAATTGGACATTTAAGAAATCAAAATTTCTATTTGTGATTTATATAAGCATGTAGTCATTTGGATTGATATACAAATTTTTTTAGATAAATCGTGGAAGTTCTGAACATTTAGCTCATAATCTTCTCGGTATCCGGAGATAGTCTTTGAGTATTCTGATTTAAAGAATAACTCTCCGTCCTAAAAAAGGTTCGAACTCGGAGCACAAGAGAACCAACCCTTTGTGTTATCATTAAGCCACCACTCTTTTGATATACCAAACTTCGGTCAACCGAAAATTGCATGTTCCTTGGTTTGTATTTATACGTTAGATGTAATAAATTAGAAGCAAAGAAACAACTAG